GCGCCTTCCGGCCTTGATGAGTGGTTCTCTCTCCAAGGCGGGTCTCCGCCCTTGTGGTCGGGGCGACGAGCTTCGAGAGATATCCCGGTCTTATCTCCACGGGGGAGATCGGGGATGTTCCTCCATTATTTGAGGAGGCGGGGATTGAGGCCTCCTGTGTCTCCTCGGGGGCCTTCGGTCGTCCTCTAGTGCTCTCAGTCTTTCCCCTTGGGTAAAGATGAGATAATTGGTCTGGTTGATTGCCACGAACAGTGCCCTGGTCGTGGCGTCTGCCCCGACGAGGACAGGAACTTCATGGAATTGAGCGGCTAGATAGTTCGGGGGAACCAGATTATCTTCTTCGAGTCGAGGAGGGAATGATGAAGACAAGGCCGTGGCTCCATCCCGGTAGTTGGAGATTATTGGGATGTTGTCGCCAGTGGCAGTGACATGGGTTGTGACGCCGACATTGTTGTCAGCGAGGTTGTTATTGGCCTCGACGACACGGGCGTTCTGGATATCCTGAGTTTGGTCATCCATGACGATGGAAGATGGTTTTAGCTTTGGTATTTGTAAGTTTGCAAGACGGGGAAGCTTAGATTCTCACAGACGGCGCCACTGATCGTACCTGATCAGAGTTGGACCGTCACAAATGGTTTGAACTGGATTTGAAAGAGATGAGGGGGTACCTGCAAGACACTCCGATGATAAAGTAAGAGACGCAATGAGCAGGTGAATTGTATGTAGGTGTGAAATGAATGAATACCTGACCCTCTTGAAATAGAGGGTATTCATAACCCCCAACGCTGGGCCAAGGTCCCTTTATTGGGCCGACCAAAACTGACCCAACAAAGGGACTTCCAGGTTCTACGTGAGTAGTGGGGACCTGCACGTGGTCCCCTGCCTGGATGATGCTTTACGAAGAATAAGGAAGAACGAAGACGCGATCTTACTAGAGCTCCAAGGACTCCGAAACATCCGGAGGGACCGAGAGTCTGCCCTACAAGGAGGGTACTCGAGCGAGGCTCGGATTGGGATGTCCTTAGTCGGGGACGCCTCTCGTCGCAGGCAGCGACGAGCACAGTCGTGTTAGTCCTACAGCCCGTGACAGGGGTATGCTCGGGGGATCTGGTGCCCAGCATAGCACATGGTACGATTTGGATTTGGCCTTACTGGTGATTTGGGCCATGGGCAGGCCCAATCCAGAACATTATCCCTGTCACGCGACTGTAACAACATCTTCATCCATTTCCAAGTTCAAAAATAGAGCATCACAGTTGGACTTCTCCAGACCATTCCAGCCACCCTCAGCTCAAGCCATCCATTGCATTAGCTTCCTGAGGACTTGAGGAAGCTAACCTGATCATCACCACTGCCTGAAACAAGCTCAAATCCATTTCACAATTTCCAGTTTTGAGGTATTTTTCTTGAACTTCTATCTTCATATTTAGGCATTGTTAGGCTTGCATTTGTGAAGATAAAATGTAAATATCATTGCCCTGAAACTATACATGTCCATAGATTTTATTTATTTTAATTTAGCTAGGAGAATTTTGAGTTTGAACTTTCTGAAATATTTAGGTCAGAATTTGGTACTTTTAGAAATTCTCATTCATCTCTGATTTATAGCTTATGATATTTATATGGTTGGATTCGTGTGACAAAATGGAGCAATTTTCATGTTTACATTTTTGCAAATGTTTGAGAAATGAACAAGTTGCAGGGATTTTGGCTGGAGGTTGAAGATGAAGTTATAACATGGACTTGTTTTTTTTTTTAAGTTTATTGATTGTTGTATAATGAACGGATGAAACAGGCCACCCCAGTGGTACAACAAGCACGCGCATATTAAGAGGTCCTGGGTTTGAGCCCCAGCGAGACCTTTTGGCAATTTTCTCATTCTTTTACACTTTTTTCCATTTTTTGTTTGTAGCCAACAAGCGCTTGGGCCTTCCTCCTTTGGGCCTGGGATTTTTTGCCAGCCTTTCACCCTCCTGACTGTTTTTAACACCCCTGGCCCATTATTTTCTTTATAATTTCATTTTTATTTTTATTTTATTTTCATTTCATATTTTCTTTTATTATTTTCACTATTATTATTATTATCATTTTTTATTATTAATAAAAATCCAAAAATATTTTTATTTATTATTTATACTTATATATTTTATTTTTTCTATAAAACAAAAAGACTAAAAAACATTTCTCTTAATAATTAAATTTCTTTTTTTATAATTAATATCTAGACATAGGTTTAATTATTTATTTTCTTAATTAAATTTAATTTAGAACTTAGGTTTATTTTAATTAATTAATTTTCATATTATTTTTATTAAGTTAAAACCTTTTCACAAAAAAAAAAAACCTAAAACACATTTTTTAACTTAATTTCCTTCTTAATTAATTTAAGTTTAAATTTTGTTTATTTTTCATTAATCATCTCACTTAATTAGGATAAAACCCCTTTCATAAAAACAATAAAAAATCTTTTCTTTTTCCATTTATATTCTTGCATTTTATTTTCAATTTTGTACAATATTCAATATGGTTGTAATTGGTAATTAGGTTTAATTTTCTTGCAATCCCCATTTGTAAATTTGTACACCCCCTCCCATGAGTATTGTAATAGCGTAGTAATTTTAAATTCCGCGATTTATCGCTTTATATAAATGCTAGTAATTAGGGTTTGTATAGAAAGATAAAATCAACAAGTAGCAAACCCTAATTCAAGACAAAAAACCAAGCATGAAAATCAATGCACTTGCACACAAGCACCCCTAGGGTAAAATCCACTTGGTTGTCTTACAAAAATAACCATATTACACATGTAAGGTATCTTAGCAAAGACAAGCAAAATACAAGATCATAGTCTCTCGATGACGCTATCAAAAGTTGCCTTTCAAAATGACCTTAGTCCCTAAAGAAAAATGCCAAGATATTTTGCAACATTGCTAATCATGGCTATACGTTGACCCACGCCCGTCCCGTTTACATCCTAAGATAGGGTTACTTAACAAATCAATAGTAAGATAACAATGTCAAAGGAAAAAGGAAATGAACATGAAAGACTTTTGAGTAGGTAGAATGTTCCTAGTTACCTGCTCCATTTCAAAACAAAAACATCCTTGCTATTTTCACAACAAACACTAACACTTTTAAAACATCTTTCAAAACTTGAAAACATTTTCAAAAGATCAAATACTTTATATACATTCTTACGAACGAGAATCATTAAAAAGTTTATCTAAACAAATGGCCTCTTTTCAAAAATACTTTCAAAACCACACAAAGCACAATTTCAAACAAAAGCAAGTGATCTAGCAAGTAACTAAGAGCCCATGGAAAACCATGGATGAAAAGGGTGATAATACCTTCCCTTTTCATAATCTACCCCCCGAACTCAATAAATAATCTCAAAGTTCTTTCTTGTGCTTTTTCACCTTTCCTTTTGGATAAAAGAAAAGTCGGTGGCGACTCTTTCTAACCGCAAAATTTGCGATCAAACACAAAACAACCAAGTCAGTTCTCCCACCGTACCACACTCATTATTTCAAATGATGAAAGTTGATTTCAAAATTTGCATAAACATTGCATTAAAATTACCATTTTGAATAAATAAATCTTATTTTCAAGTCAACACTTAGCATCAAAGAAGTTCCAACAAGTGAAAAATCAATGATCATTCGAAGATAACCCAAGTTGGGGTAAAGCATTTGAGAACCTTATTGACAAGGCATCATCCAAAGATCAGTCAGCCTAGGGCAAGTCGTTCCAAGATTTTGTCAAACTGGAGCATTTACTTTGAGAAGTTGAAGTCTCTCTAATGCGCATACTGGGGCATGCTATTTCCATAGCACAGTAAAGTCATTCCAAGATTCAATCAATCTGGGGCAGTCACATTGAAATACAGTAAAATCTCTCAAATGATCAGTTAATCAAGGGCATTCTACATTGAAATTCAAGATGTTGGGGCAAGCCATCTCAAGGTTATCTTCAGGCATATCTGTTTCCAACGTCCTCTCAAAGCATATATCTTCAGATACCCAACAAACTAGGGAAAGAAATGTTACGGACGGAGAAGTACTCTTCATACCTTCGAGCTGCTCAAGCAAATTTTTTGCCCAACACCAACAAATGTTGCATTTGAAATGAATAGCGGGTAATCATGCTAGCAACATCCTCTTGTTGGGAAAATTTGTTTCAAGAATATTTTTGGTCTTAACCAGTCACACAATAAAAACATCTTGCATACATCAGATCATGCATCTCACCTTGTGCATCTTGACATTGTCCATATGTCTGAATTCGAACCTTGTTTGGTACCTTTAAATCCAGTTTCCGTCTGGTGGTTAAAATATTTTCAGCAATTTTCGTTAGGTGGTTAAAATATTTTTACCAGTTTTCGTCTGGTTGTTAAATTCCTTTCACCAATGTTCATCTGGTTATTAAAATATTTTCACCAGTTTTCGTCCGGTGGTTAAAATATTTTCACCAGTTTTCGTATTGTTGTTAAAAAAATTTCACCAGTTTTCTTATTGTTATTAAAATTCTTTCACCAGTTTTCGTATTGTTGTTAAAAAAATTTCACCAGTTTTCTTATTGTTATTAAAATTCTTTCACCAGTTTTCGTCTGGTTGATTGAATTCCTTTCACCAGTTTTCGTCTGGTTATTAAAATTCTTTCACCAGTTTTTGTCTGGTGGTTAAAATAATTTCACGAGTTTTCGTCTGGTTGTTAAAATTCTTTCACCAATTTTCGTTTGGTGGTTAAAATCTTTTCACCAGTTTTCGTATGGTTGTTAAAATTCTTTCACCAGTTTTCATCTGGTGGTTAAAATATTTTCACCAGTTTTTGTCTAGTTCTTAAAACCTCTTCACCAGTTTTTGTCTGGTGACTCTTTTCTAAAGTCAATTTTCGTCTGGCAGTTCACCCTTCAAAGTCCTAATTTTCATTTGGCACTCATTTAATAATTTGCATATGCATTCATAAATCCTCGCATAAATCATTGTCATGTGTTCATCATGTCTCTTCACTCAGTATGTTCATGCATAAGTATAATCAGGCTCAGTAAGCCTGAGATAAAGTCAAGTGTAATCCTCGACAGGATCAGACTTTGAAGATTATTTCTCAAGTGGTGAACTTAGTTATTCTCACAGGTGTAAGTTGAATGCTTATTTGGAAATCAATCGACAGTGACATTGATTCTCAAGTTGAGTTTCTTCTCCATAGAAGTGATTGATTATACCCCCAATAAACTTTTGGGTCAACGAAATTTTCCACTCGAATTACCCCAGTGATTGTTCTCCATAGAGTTTCTTGTGAAGTTTTCCCTAGTAGAAGCTTCATTTGCTCCTCAAGTGAGCCTTTTCCAACAGGATTACCATGACGGTATCCTCATGGTTGTTATGCACAATAAGATCTTTTCATATTCTTTCAGATAACAATTTCCCCAGTAAGTTTTAGTGGCCGAAATCATCTACAGACTTGATTCTTTGAGATATTCTCAGTTAATCCCCAGCGAATCTCTGATGTGTTTATTCCCTAGTAAGTTTCTCACTTAATCTCCCCAGTGAATTTCTCACTTCATTCCATAGAAATCTATCTCCCCCGACACGGAGTTCAGAAGATTTTTTCGGTCAAAGTGCACGACGATAGAGTGAAGATTTATCCACTTTGGAGATCTCTATTCTCAATCACGGGTTTTGAGCTTGTTAGTTATATCTCCATTAAAACTTTCTACATGTTCGTTAAGGTATATTGTTAGCAGATGCTGGCAGGACGAAGACTTACATGTTGTGTTATAGACTACTGTTAGTTGATTCTTCCAGTTTGATTATCTGTTAACTTTGTCTGTTGTTGGTTCGCTATTTGCAAGATATGCTGATAGAGCGAGAATGCGTCAACATCGAAGATTATTTCAGTTGCATTTCTATTGTCAGCTTATTGCAGACACATCGTTGAATTATCAACCTTGAAGTTCTTTAACATGTTTTATTTACATGTTATGTTACATGATACTTTTAGTTAATCCTTCCAATACGACATTCTCTTAACTTTGTTCGTATGTTGGTTCGCTATCTGCAAGATGTTCAGATAGAGCGAGAATGCGTCAACATCGAAATTCACTTTCGTTGTATCTCTATTGTTAGCCTCTTGCAGACAAGGCATCAAATTGTCAACTTTGAAGTACTTATACATATGATTATATATGTTGTCACTAAGCAGAGTGAAGATTTGTCGACCATGGAAACATCCATGTCAGTCGGAGTACTGAACATGATATGATTTATCCCCATTGAAGACTCGTTGTAATCTTCTGTTAGCGTTTGTTAATGAGGCGAAGATTTGTCAACTTTGAAAATTCATTTCAGTCAGTACATTGAACATGATCTTTCATCCTTAGAAGAGTCTGCTTTCAGTCAACTTTTCTGAACCTGTTCCTTTGCATACATTCATGTTGCATAAGTAGGAAATCCATGTTTTATTTAGTTCATTGCATTCTCATATCATCGCATTCGCATTCACATTTCATTCACCTCATACCCGTTACATCTCAGGGCAAAATTTCGGGTCTTTGGTATTTTAAACTATATTTCACCCTGACGATTCGAAGACTGTTTCTTTGAATCATCTGGTTAAAGATGTTTAAATAGGGGCAACTATCACACCCCAAATTTTACCCTGAGATTTTCTCATTCGCATTCGTATGTCAAAATTAATTTTCATTCGTATCTTTGCATCTTTCGCGCATTTGAATCGTTTTTTATCATATTTTCCTCTTAAATTTTTTTCTTTCTATTTTATAATTAAAAAATATAAAAAAATTGTATATGATTTTCCTTTTTATACTTCATTTTTGTTTATATTTAGAATTTAGTTTTTTAGTTTTTATTTTTATTTAGAGAAATACATTAAATATTTTAGTATGAGCCAAATAATAATTAGAATAATTTAACTTTTTTATTATTCATTATTTTTATTTATAGTTATTTATAGTTTAGTTTTTAATATGCAAATATCTTCTAAAAATATCTACAAGAGGAGTTTATTGGTCATTCTTGAAGACTTGAAATATCTACAAGAGGGTTTATTGGTCATTCTTGAAGACTTAAAAGGGATAAAGGGATAAAGTTTTGTGTGGATATAGAAAAAAAGGAAGGAGGACTATAGAAAGGAGAAAGAGCTGCGCAGCAAAAAAAAGAGAACGCTCCCATCTCTCAACTGCCTTCAAACCCTCTCCGACTCTCTCTCGCCGGACATCCCTCAGTCGGATCCTCCACCGAATCCCTTAATCATCGCCGTCAAAACCCTCCGTGCTCACTTTGACACCACCACCAATCCTCGCCGCTCCTCCCTCTGTCTAAGCATCATCACATTCTCAACATCATTCAACGCCCTCGCCGTTCAACCACCATCATTACCGCTCAACAGCTCGCCGTTCAACCACCATCATTACCGCTCAACAGCTCGCCGTTCCTTTCTCTCCAATACTCCCTCCATAGCAGTTCACTCCGCCGTTCAACCACCAACAACACCACGTTCCACCTATATCCGCGAGCAACACACTTCATTTCTCTTTTCCGCCGAACAACTCTGTCGCAATAGAATCGCAAGCATCGTTTCTGCAAGCAGCTCCCTCAGCATCTCTCCTCCATCGTTCAGCCATCAACCGTTCGCTCACATCCATCGCGATCGCACAACCGAGCATCTGTCAACTCCGCCAATGTTCGGTAAACTTCGATTTCACTACGTTTGTGTTATTTGAGTCGAACTGTCATGCTGCTGTGATTAATTTCTGTGAAATAGTTTGACATTGTTTTTAGGTTTTGATCTGTTAGAATTGCATTGCTGTGATAAACTCTCTGAAAATTAGTTTGATAGTAGAATGTGTTGTTGAATCTAGAACAAAGCTGAAACGGTTTGATATACTGTGATAGATTCTGGTTTAATTTTGAGTTGATTTTGTGTTGAAATATGTGAAAATAGCTTGGTTTCTAACTGTTATGCCGCTGGAAAATCGTTGTGATAAGCTCTAAATTCTTGATTCAATGCGTGGTAAGTGTTGTTCTGTTCAATTCTAAATGGAAAGAGGGCCATGAAATTTCCCGTTTGTATGCTTTGTTGATTTGTTGATGGCATGACTCTTTGATTGTTGTTTATGGTTAGAAATTCTTGAATAGTCATCGAGTTATTTGATTGTTTGAACTTGATCAAGATATTCAAATATATGTCGCGATTCAGTTTCGTATTTATGGCATGAGCTTAGACCTTTGTTTTCGTATTTGATTTGAAACATTTGAATATTCGTTTGATCTAATTGTTTGGATCTGTTTAGAACAGTTGGAATACATGCTATGTTGATTTTTGGATAACTCTGGAATATTAGCGTGAATTCTCGATTCTTGTTTGAAATCATGATAATCAATGTTTGGATGACTTTTGTTGTGCTATTTGATTTGATCGCGAAAGATAAATCCGGTTATTGCATTGTTTTGATGTTTCTGTTATTGTTAAACATGTTGAGTGGAATTTTTTAGCTTTAATTTGTTCTTGTTTGTGGCTGCCCGAAATTTGATTTGGTTGATTATAGCTTGCTTTGAAATCGATTTTCCATGTTTAAAATTTGAATTAAAATTTGAATTAAATAATAGCATGAGTTTTTGGTTCTTGTTTCATTTGTGATTTGATAATCATGAATAATATTGTGTTTACTTGATGTTGAATGAATTTAGAACAAAGTGTTTACTTGATGTTGAATGAATTTAGAACAAAGAATGCTATGTTGTTTGATTAATGATACCAATGCTTGATTCTTGAAAGTGTCCATGTTATATTATGCCAGTTTCATTTGGTTTTATTTTCGATTCATATTGTTATCACTAACTTGGTTTCAGTTTGTGAAAGCGATTAAGGTGGCCAATTTTCATCGTCTCAATTCCATTTTTATTTCATTTTTATAATTTATTAGTTCTACATTGTTTTAATTAATTAATGTTTGTTAATTAAAATGGATTAGTTCACTAATTTATTTTTCTTAACTTGATTAATTGATTTAATCAATGTTTAACTAATAGATTCTTTTCTTTATTTTCATCCCCATTCAGTAAATTGTATCCCACTCCTCCGTTGTGATGTAATTAATTTTCCGCTTTCTTTTTATCCATCAATCTCCATTCATAAACAATGTATCCCTCTCCCCTAAAGTTTGTAATACTTATTTAGTTTGTGTATGCGTTTATTTAACTATTCCATCCCTTTGCATGTGCACAACCGAAAAACACTTTTCAAATTAATAATTGATTACGAATCATTTTCATCATGTAAGTCGATAAAGTTTGTAAGCGTTGTAATGACCACACAAAGCACACTTTCACGTTGGTTCTTGGACCTTCTTACCGTATGCTCTTACTCGATTAATTGTTTCAATTGGTTGTTTAGATGCTAGTTCACTTTGTTAGCTTACACTTAGAAATTAAGACATGTGCTTTACAATTTATGTTTGTGTGAGTCATCTGATATGGGTTTTTATCGATTTGTTTGCTACACTTTCATGAATGTTTGCAATTATTCTCATCCATCTCTTGCTCCATGGTCCACATAATAAGTTCTCATTCAATTAGGATTTCATAATAGAAAGTAGGCTTGACTATTCTCTCGAGATCAATTAAGTCACATGGCTTGTATTGATTATTATAACCTGATTCATTCCCATTCACCAAACATCTAAACACTTTCACAATAAACTTTCCAACCTCGATTCAACGTCGAGTCTTCTTTTCAAAGTCTTTTCTCAAATAAACAAGGGTTGCATAGTAGAGGATAGGTACATGTCTATTCTCTCGAGATTAATCGAAGACAAGTCACGTGACTTGTATTGGTTAATCATGGCCTGACTAAAACACTTAAATGGAAGAAATAAGAAACTTCTCTTACACCTTTTCAACTTAATCAAGGACAAGTAACTTTGTTTGGACTCGATTTTTCACTTTTTTGTAAAGAGGATTAAATGGGATAGTAAAGGTACCTACCTTTTATTTTCCAAAGCGTGTGGTTGGTCAAGAATTTCTTTGGACATATCTAAGCGCTCGTGTCCTTTAAAAACAACTCAATTCATCAAAATTGTTTTTTCGCCCTTGTGCAACTCTTTCGAAAAACCTTTTCATAAAAAGAAACTTGTCTTAGCCATTTCATAAAAAGAAAATTGTTTTTTCGCCCTTGGTCAAGAATTTCTTTGGACTTATCCAAGCACTCGTGTCCTTTAAAAACAATTCAATTCATCAAAATTGTTTTTTTGCCCTTGTGCAACTCTTTCGAAAAACCTTTTCATAAAAAGAAATTTGTCTTAGCCATTTCAATACGAAACGAATACCTGAGACTTAGATTCTCATACGAGCAAAACAAGTCGAATTTTTAACGTTTGAAATGTCTAAACGCATTATTCTTCTAAAGCAACCAATAAACTTTTGGTCTTTTTTAAAAGAATTACGGAGTTCTGACTTTTCCATTACACGAGGGAGTACGTAGGCACAAGGTTTTGAAACCGAAGTAAACTTAAAATAATCTAAAATCAAACTCCTTCTCTCTCCTTTCTTTACTAAGATTGCAATTATCACACTAAACACTTAACCAAACGCGAATTAAATGATTGCCATCGAATACGATGAGTGTGAAGGATGCTAATTTCCCATTGCATAAGTGACTTTCGTATTCTTCTCCTGATTACGATGACCATTTCTTTTCTCTTGTGAATTTTATTCAATATTTCCTCTTTCCTCTTTAGAAATAAATAAATCTCGATAGCGACTTCATTATTTATAACTTATTCGTGACACTACTGATACATAAATTTTTTATTTTCAAAGGTCAAAATTCTCTTTTCTCTTTTTTTCACAAGACATTATCAATAAAATATCTATTTTATTTTAATTCACAATTTTCTTTATTTAAGATACAAATTTTTTATTTTTTAAATGATAAAATTTCTTTTTCTACACGGATTATTAGCAGCAAAATATTTATTTTATTTTAATTAATAACTATCTTTATTTGAAACACAATTATCATTTTCAAATATCAAAGTTATTTTTCCTAATATTTTGCTAGTAATATACCGAATTAAAACCAAACATATGCGTGTAGATGCAGAGTTAAAAAGTGGAATGATATTATCCAAAAACAAATATTTCATATGCATGTTATTAACATGTACTACTTTTTAGTGAATTGTGAAAAAAGTAAAATAAATTGTCAGAAAAAGAAAACATTAATAATCCGTCAATTTCATCATGAATTGAGTTAATGTAACATAATTTAGACAATACTTCTATTTTTTTAATATTATAAATCACTTTGAAAAATAAATTATACTATAAATTATATGTCATTTTAGAATCAATATGCCATTAAGTATTTATTATTTTCTCAAATTTCAATTATAAAATTTATCTTTAAGAACAATTTTGTAAAATTATTTATAATTTCTTTTTTTTTATACAATAAAATTTATATTTTCTAAAAAAATATATTTTCTTTTTTATACAATAATCATTTATAATTTTTTAAAATCATGAAAGTGTCAAAACAACTTATAATAAAAAATGGAGATAATATTTTTAGGTGTTGCTAAGTATTTTTTTCCTAGGGGGTGAAGTGGACTGTACATAAATCTTTCCAAAAATTTTCATCTAGGTATTGATTATTGTTTTTCCCTTATATCTTACATATTACCGAAAATCATAACCTTGAAAAATCAATATGGCATCAAAATATCAATCTTTGCATATGCATGAGGGATGAATGTTGACTTTGCAAATCGTAAAGAGCATCTTATCGTAACTGAGAGTTTGAGTCCAACTTTTATAGCATTCTGCAATGCTATGCCAATGCCTGAGCCATCGTGGAGCGATTAGAGAGCTGCTGTTCATAAAGGCCACGGAATATCCTGTATTTAGCTTCATGGTACTTCTTCACTTTTGGATCATTAGATGGATGAATAACCTGCAACAACCCGTGCACCTTATTAGTCATTCAAGGAAAACTCAAGTGAGGAGAAGAGTTTTAATGGACATGCTTAAAAAAAACAATGCAATCTGGTAATAGTTGCACAACGAATGTGACCAAGAATTTGCAGAGCCCGTAAATTTTGGTTATTTCTTAATTATTAATTACCCCTATACAAACTGATACTGCATTATATACAGTTTTAATGGACATGCTTAAAAAAAACAATGCAATCTGGTAATAGTTGCACAACGAATGTGACCAAGAATTTGCAGAGCCCGTAAATTTTGGTTATTTCTTAATTATTAATTACCCCTATACAAACTGATACTGCATTATATACACTGATTTATAACCTCATTCGCACTTTACTTCAATTATTGATGAAACAGTGGGAGAACTATTTGAATGCACCATCCTAACATGTAACTATGGTATTACTGGTTAGTGTGACTTTATGGCATTGGCCTTAATTTCTAATCTGAAAATAAAAATAGTTTTATATAAAGTAAATAAAGATAGAAAGAAAGGAATCCACACCTGACCAGCTGCATTCAGGGCTTTCATGGCCTCCCTAAGGCTACTGTATTTTTTTGTAGCGACAGCACCCAGAATAGCAGCACCCAAGAGCACAGATTCACTTTCCCTTGGAAGAATTATAGGGCAACCTGGGATTATTATAAACGTGATTCGTTATTTTCAAAAAGCTGAACACACATTAACTTTCTTTTTTAAACAATAGACAAATTTGACCACCCATAGTGATTCCTTATCGTTTAGATGCATAGGAAGTTACACTCATTTTTGTTGGGTTCACTGTACAAAATTTAATGGGTTCACTGTATAAAATGAAGGAAAAATTGAGAGTAGATGTATTATCATCACGTTTAAGCGAGGTGGATGAAATGGAGCGATGTACAAATCAATTCCATTTTATCAGCGTATGAAATGTCACGGTGTACAAATCAGGTTGTACACCGCTGCCCCCACCCCTTTCTCAACACATACCAATAATATCAGCATGTTCCTGAATGAAGATAGGGTTTTTTGATAGGCCACCACATGCAAGTAGTGTGTTGATCTGTGAGCAAAGAAAGAGAAGTTATTATGATATTAAAATCTATAAACGCTGCATCGACAACCAAGACTAATACAACAATTGTACAGGTAACTCTGGGGGCTATGTTTAGCACATCCACGCCTTCATAGCAAGGTACATTTCAGTGGGTATGAATGTAAACGTGAAATGGGTGTTATAAATTAGCCAACCCAAAGAACTCGTAATAACCTCAAATATATGTCATGGCATTGTACATCCTTACTTGGTGACCATGGGCATTGGAGTGCTCTACAATGTGACGTGTGCCATATGCAATGCCCTGCACAGTTGCCAGGTATAGAAGAGCCAATTGTTCA